TTTAAAGTGAGGGTCATTAAAGACAGACCTGTAGCATGCATGGTGACACAAGTTAGATAAATTTGATCATTTGCAAATTCATACTTATGTCATTCTTAATGCTTTGACCCGCATTGCTCATTAGGATCGACCCGACAATTAGAGCTAGTTAATACATTGCGACAAGCAGGAGGTCATTCACCTATCGAGGTTTGCTCACTATCCATGCACACATACAAACACCAAAATACACCTTTTGAATTATTGAATAACCTAATTATCAACCATAATGAAGTTTGGACATGAGTTTGACAAAATTAGACTTAGAATGCGAGTCTAAATTTGATGGGCTTGGGGTAAATTTGAAATGAACTTTAGTGATTTAAATCAAGGCTTGAATTTTTGTGGGGTTGGATTTGGGTTTATGTTTTGGTTAATTTAAGGTGAACTTGGAAATTATTGAGAAATGTGGGTCAATTTGGTAGTTTAGTGATTCTTGGATGGTTTAGGTAATGTGTAAGGGTATTTTAGTGTATGTGATGTATGTGAATGTGTATATGATATAAGATGAGTGTCGAAGCCAAAAAGAGCCTCATTAAAGTCTCATAGTCCCCCAAGAAGTTTTGATGGGTTTAAGTGAGTACGTGTATGACCAAGTCACTCAGAGTTGCCCTAAAGCATGTTGACCTATGAGAACTCATTCTCGAGTCTTCACATATTGGTCCTAGCCATCTCAAATAAGAGTTCAAGAGCTTGGGACCAACCATGTGGTAATTCACAAGAATAGTCAATAAATGGCTAAAAATTCTATGTAAGATGGGTTCCATCACTAGTCCTCTAGGATAGTCAATAGGAAAGTTCTATGATTAGATCATAAACTCTAGTAGAAAAAGTAGGCCTCATCAAAAGTGAGGTCAACATAATGCCACTAAGAACCTTCCCATAAAACAATTAACTCCACTACAAAAGAATGAAAGAAGGGTTAATGGATTGTGCATTAATTGCAATGATAGAATTTACAAGGGACATGCATGAAAAATGAAATTATTTGCACTAATACTGATAAGTGATGAACAATATTAGACCACCGAAACAACCACATAAGCTTTAGAAAAAATTACAAATTTCCAAAAAAAACATTAGAAATTAGTTTTAATGCTTTGATATGCTACCAATTGGCAAGAATATTAAGCCGGAAGGGCAACATTGCAATACAAAAATTCATATTCTAATAGACATTAACTCCACCCCTAATTTTATGAAAATTAGTTTAATTCAACAACTGCAATTACCTATTCAACAAGCATCTTTTTTTAAAGTGATTATTGATAATGGTGTGCATAAGAATTTTTAAGGGTATGCCTAAGTGTTCCTATTTACATACACGAATATTAATTATTTATAGATTGTTAAGTGGTGTCAACACAAGGTGTATATGTGGTATTCGAAGTGTAGTGGCTGGTACATTTGCACCATTGTATAATGTATTTTAAGAATATAACAATGAAATTTGAGTGGATAGCAATACCTATTAAACTCAAGGATGAAATGCAGCCGATAATACAAGCCATTAACTTCTAATAATTATAAAGTTTAATGTCAACAAAAACTTAAACAACTGACCTCTACATAACCACCATCACTTAAGAAATGCAACAACAAACTGCAACAAATTACCAGAAAGAATACATGAAATCTTACAATAATATCAAGCAACAATCCAAATAACAACAGAACTACCACCCAACGGTAAGATAAACCATCAAATTTACCTTCAGCTAGGGGTAAAACCTACAAATATGAATCCATTTCATTATTCTCACTTTTAAAAAATTGAGATAGAAAAGTCAGTTAAGGAAATGCTAAATGCAAGTTTCATTGGAGAAAACACGAGCACATTTGCTTCATGAGTCATATTAGTTAAAAAGTAGATGGAACTAGAAGATTTTGTGTTGACTATAAATCTTTAAATAAACTAACTATTCCAGAAAGATCATATACATGTAGTTGAGGAACTCTTACTTGAACTCCATGGAGAAACTATATTCTCCAAGCTTGATTTCAAATTAATATACTATCAAATTAAAATGAATAAAGAAAAAATCCATAAAAGTACTTTTAGAAGAAATGGGGGACATTAAGATTTCAATTTAATGCCATTTGGCTTGACCAATGCACCAACCACCTTGTAATAAATGATGAAATATATACTCAAACCATTTATTCATCACTTTATGTTAATTTTTTATGATATCTTGATCTATAGAAAGTGGCCTGAAGAATATGTTGACCACTTAATTCAAATCTTATTACCACTACAACAAAGTGTTTAATTTTAAAACTATCCAAGTGCAATTTTGCTCAAAACTATTTATAATACTTAAGACATAATAAATAAAAAAAATAAATTGAAGCATATCATACCAAAATTGAAGCAATTTAGCAATGCCAAACACCAACAAAATTGCATAATCAGGAGGATTTCTCAGATTAACATTCTATTACATAAAGTTCATCCAAAACTATGCTACTATAACAACCCCTCTATCTTCTCTATTAATCAGAGGTCAATTTATTTGGACAATAAACAATGAACAAGCCTTTACAACTATCAAAGAAGCAATGAAAACTTTATCAGTCATGGGTCAGATTTTTCTATGCCTTTTATGATAGAAACTAATGCATTTGAAATGGTAATTGGAGTTGTACTACTACAAAAGTCAATGCTATGACATAATTTAGTAAAAATCCATCCACCCTAATGCAAAAAAGCATCAACTTATGCAACATAGTTATGTGTCATTATTAAAGCAGTGGTCAGATGACACCAACACCTCTTAGAAAATCTTTTTATTATAAGAACATATCAGAAAGCATTATAGAAGTAATGCAACAAGTAGTCCAAACTCAAATATAACAATGATTCTTAATTAAATTATTGGGGTTTCATTACAAAATTGTATATAACTCAAGAAGTGAAAATAAAGTAGTTGATGCACTATCTAGAAAAATAAGTATAGAGTCTGAAAATTAACAAACAACACCAGCTGAATTCCAAGCTTGACTCATATTCAAGCTAAATCCTTGTCTTTAGATTAACTAAGAAAGAAAAATTCATAGTTACTACAAATTCAAAAGTTATGTAAAAACATGTAATAACACATGCAAACTTTACTTATTACATATTAAAAAATGTGCTAGTTTATTTCAAACACAAAATATTATTAGCCAATACTTCTCAACTAAAATCAAACATATTAACAACATCACACTCATCACCAGTAGCATGACATCAGACACACACCTACTAGAGTAATGACTCAAATTTTCTAGCTAAAGATGAAACAAGACAGATTCAGTTGACCAGGACATGTCTAGCATGAAAACAAGCAAAATATGACAACCATAAACTTATAGGTTTGTTACAACAATCATCTATTCCAAATAAAATATGAGAAAAAAATTCTGAGTATTTTATCGCAGGTTTACTAAATTTGAAAGGTAAAATAGTGATATTAGTTGTTGTTGACCACTTTTTAAAATATGCACGATTTCTTGCCCTTAAACACATTTAACTGCTCTCTCAGTTGTTATAGTTTTTAACTCATAAATCTACAAATTGCATGGAATAACAAAAGTGATAGTATCCGATCATGAACCCTTTTTTTAAGTTGAATTTGTCAATAATTATTCAAATTAAGTGACATTAATTTTAAAATATTATTGTTCATATCATCTAGAATCAGATGGGCAGAGAAAGATCACAAATAGAAGGTTAGCACAATATTTAAGATGTTTTGTGATGAATTCTTCATTATAGTAGATAAAGTTCTTACAATGAGAATAATTTTTGTATAATACAACTAAACATACCTCTACAGGTTTCTCCTAGTTCCAAATCATCTATGATAGATATCCCTCAACAATTATTCTACATGAATCCAATTATTTGCAAATTGAGGCGGTACACACCTTACTCAAACAAAGACGCACAATACTCTATCAATTTTCAACAACCTTGCACAAAACATAGATTCAAACGAGACAAAAAAAAAAAAAAAAACAAAACAAATTGAGGCGGTACACACCTTACTCAAACAAAGACACACAATACTCTATCAATTTTCAACAACCTCGCACAAAACATAGATTCAAACGACACAAAAAAAAAAAAAAACAAAAAAAAAAGAAGGGACCTACAACTTCAAGTAGGTGACAAGATATTAGTTCGACTGCAACTAGATCGATGTATCTCTACAGCTGATAATAAATTCATCAAATTAAAACATAAAATTATGTGGACTTTTTTCAAATAATAGCAAAAATTGGAGCGATAACCAGTGCATCATTGCCTGATGATAAAACTAGAAAGAATGAGACTGGATAATAAATCATAATATAAAGGGATCTACAACTTCAAGTAGGAGACCGAAGGCTAATTCGACTCAAATCACATAGACATACCTCCATAACTAATAACACATCTATCAAATAAAACAAAAAAAACTTCGCCGACCTTTTTGAAATAAAAACAAAAATTGGAGCAATAACGTGACATTACTACTATATCATTGCATAATGATGGAACTCGAAAGATTAAAACTAGTTAATAAATCATAATATAAAAAAAAATAAAGATAATATTTAGGAACTGAGAAATTAACTTTCAACATAATTCCTTAATTTTCAAAAATAAAATCATTAGCTTTCAAAATTTTTTAAAAAATAATTTTTAATAATAACTAGCACTAAATCATAAAATACTCCATACCCTTAAACTGTAATTTTGTCTTCTTTATCCTTATCCGACTCATTCCAAACAATTACCGAACAACCCTCAATTCGTTGAGATTGGAAAATCATGCACCTGGCCTAAAGTCGACGTGGAGAATAGGCCGTGAAAACACATAGCATAATTTCACAACAGCCCTCCAACTTCCAAAAATTAGTTCCACACCCAGAGATGACTTTCTTTTTTAAATTTTCTTCTTTTAGATCTCTTCGGCTCTCCCTTATATAAATGTTATTATAATCGGAGGGAGCAAATCTAGTGTTCTGACTGTCGAATTCGCAATGGCGGAGACATCCTAATAACGGGAATTTTACTCGAATCCAAGATCGCCAGAAAGGCAGGGAGAAGAAGCAAGGAATAAGGACAAGCGGAGGAGAAGCCCCTCTCTCCCGTCGCTCGATTGATTTGAGATATCTGGATTGCTGATGGAGACAGCCGAGTCAGGACCGGATCGAATCGGTACGAGAAGACTCTGAACCTTGTTATTCGGATGAGTTGTTTTTCTTCTTCTCGAGTTTTTAGTTTGAAGCATTATAGTTGAGAAGGTTTGGATTGATATTGGTCGCTAGGGTTGAGAACGGCTGGTGGTTTATTCAGGGAGATTGGTTCTGAGTATCTGTGGTGTAGAGTGCATTGGTCAACTATGGTAAATCGTTTATTGTAAGGCTTCCGTCGGCTTCAGTGAATCTCTTGTTTTGGTTTGTTTAGATTTGGGTTTTTGTGTTTCGGTGCCCGGTGGGCTTTTATTGTGTTTGGGTTACCTGTGGTTAAGGTTCGTCTGGATTAGGTTTTGGAGTCTTTAGATGGCTGTTTGTGTTGATGTTGATCACTATATCGGTCGTGCACTGCTAGTTTTTTTGACTGGGATCTCCAATTGTTTGGTATCTGGTTTGTAAATTCTGAGATCTAATAGAGATAATAGTACATTGCTTACGATGTATATTAGAATTTGGTTTGACTGCTTAAATTTGGAGATAGTGAATTGTTGGTGTACAGAATTACAAAGAAAAAATATCACTATACTATTTGTGGTTATTTCTTGTCGAATGTTATTAGTTGCCACCGGGTTTGCCTGTGGGCTGAAACAGCAGGCATTATTATATTCAATTGTTATTATAAGATCGTTCGACTTCAAAGTTTGTTCGCCTTTGTATTTTAGTTTTTATTTTTTTGATGCCTGTTTGTTTGGAGGTCGATTGTTAATGTGCAAAAGTAGTTTGATCTTGGTGATACAGCTTGTTTTATGTTAATTAATAGCCTGTTATGACCGGGTTGGGCATGACCATGACTGGCGGGTGCAAACACAGCAATGCTGAAACAGCATCTCCAGCAACCAGAACCGACATGGCGACATCTACCAGTTTAGTAAAAGGAACCCCACATGGGAAAATGGTAGAAACTGGTATTTTGTTATTGCAATAAAAGTCACCATAGGATGGATATGATTTAAGAGTGAAATGAGCCGATGCTTTATTACTAAAAAAAAGGCCAGCGGCAAAAGGAATATTAATTGGCAGGCTGTGATTTAGTTTGTTTTATGAAAAATAAGTAAAATTCACTTTGGTTTCCGTTGATTTATCCTTTATCTCCCTTCGGTCTTCCCAGAGCTCTTTGGCAAGGCTTTTGTTTATTTTTCTCTTCTACAATTTTGAAAACCTGACCTAAACCCCTACTTGTACCCCCACCAAAACCCACACTCTCAACCACAAATTCCAATAAAATGATTAACCAATTCCGAGATGACGGAGAAATGAGAAAGGGTTTTATGTTATAATTGCAATGAAAAATTCACTCATATTCATGCATGCAAATAAAAAAAAATGTTGCCTTGATGATTGAAAATAAGGATGTTTATTTTTGAACTGGTTGCTATGGACGACGCACACTGACAACTCCATCGTTGACTCCAGATTCTCCATATGAAATTTTATTATTAATCACACTGCACCCCTTAGCGGGCCAATTGTTGTCAGCTTTTGAATATGAATTGCAATCTACCTAGGTGTAAGTACTAATAGATGGTGTTTTAACTCATAATTTCATTTAACATCATTTAATCAGGCATTTTTGTCTGCCAATGACCCCAACACCCTATTCTAATTCTCATTGCAATAAAAAAAATTGCGCAAATCATACCTCAAATCAAGTAACGATCGCCCATCAATACCCATTACATTGGTTAGTGAAATACTTGACGAGCTTAACGAATCTATCTTCACCAAACTAGACCTTTGTGTTGGCTTCAACCAAGTGTATTTGGCAGAGCCAACATTGCCAAAACATCATTTCATACCCAGAAAGACACTTTTAATTCAATGCATGCCCTTGGAGATGATGAATGCTTCTGCCAACTTTTAGGATTTGATGAGTATCTGCTGAATTATACTTGCACAAATTTGTGATCATCATCTCTAATGACATCCTAGTTTATGATAGTTCATTTCAAGACCATGTCAACCACCTACAAATAAATGCTTGTTTGGTCAACCCACAATCGAATATCTGAGCTACATTGTCAACTTTGAGGTTGTTCGCTAAATCAGGGCAATACAAGTGTTCAAAATTATCCATTGTCTTCCACTCAAAAATGGCTTTGTGATTTGTCAAAAGCTTTGCTAGTATTGTTTCTTCACTAATAATGCCCATGCAAAAAAAATGTATTCAAGTGATAGTGACAAGAAGACTTGCTTTTGTCTACCTCAAACAAGCATTGATATTATCTTTGGTGCTTTTGCTGCTAAATTTGCCATTGACACAAATGCGTTGAGTGTTGGCATAGTCGTAGTGTTATCCCTAGAGTGTCTGAACCTGTCCTGCAACATGAGACTAGATAGAAAGATGCAACAAACTTCAACTTATTTATTGGATATATTCACAAACAACGAAGTTGCCATGTGATAGTGTTAACACTTACTTGGTACAAAGTTCACAATTAGGATAAACCATGAAATCATTCATGATTTGATGACCCAAACCATCTAGGCACCGCACCCTTTCAACAACACTTTTTTTGTTAAATTTCTGGGTTATGATTATTTTATTGAGCACATTATTTGCCAAAACAACCAAGGATTGCTCTCTTTCAGTTTTATGAAGTGAAATATTAGCCTTCCACATTCCCGTGCTCATTTCAAGTTTTCTACAACTGATTAAATCAATTATATAGACCAACCTTTCAGCTACAACCTTGTGACAATTCTTTTGAATAGAACCTAGAGAATTATTTAGACTAAAGCATTCACGACAACTTAATCAGAAAGCAATGATAAATTGTCATCTCACTCGTTACGATGCACTATCTTACATGATTATCATTCTAGTGCAATCGGTGGTTACGATGGTGTCTGCAAAACTATTTGCAAAATGACACCATTTGCAAAGCTATTTGCCTAATGAACCAACATTTCTTTTGGCCCAACCTACGCAAGGATGCCTATGACTTTGTCACAAGCAGACCAATGTGTTAAATCACAAAATGCCAACTCTTATCTCCTACAAGACTGCTACAACTACTTCCCGTTGCAATCGTTGTTTGTGAATATATTACCATGAATTTCATCACTCTTCTATTGACTAATGCGGACAAAAAATAGTGATGTTCATCAATCGTTTAATCAAATATATATATTTTTTTATAATGTCAACTCCCTTTATGATACACAGTATCCATAATATTCATCACGAACATCTACAAATTTTACAACCTAAAATCATCTCCTCAGATCATGGTCATGTCTTTATTAACACATTTTGGACGGAGCTCTTCACTCTAATGAATATTGTGCTGTAGTACAACATCATTTATCACTTTTAGACTGACAGAGGTTTCCAACAATTGTCTCAAATTATGCCTTTACTTTTTGTGATGGATAACCTGTTATCTTACCTTTGGAATAATACTATTGCAACACCTTCTACCATACTGCTATCAACTAAATGCCCATTGAAACCTTGTATGGATGCCTACCACCGGGCAAACAAATAGACGTCAGGTTCATGGAAACCTTCCTGTAGACCAGGGATGATACTTTGCGGTGCATCCACTCACCTTGCTTCAACTATATTACCAACATTATTATTGTGATTTACAGCTCAAGGTTGGTGATCTTGTCCTCATGAAGCTTCAACTATATTACCAACACTCCGCAGTATTACAAACCTACTCTAAGCTTTGTTGTTGATTCTGCTAAGCTCACGAAATTATTTCCCGTATCAATTAAGTTACTTACCCGCCTTGAACTCTTTCAATAAACACACACTCAACCTGTTTCCAATCTCCCTCCATAAACTCTATATTACTAGAACATACATTGGCATTCGAGGTTGCTACCACATGCTACCAGGGAAAATCAACCAACCACTTATTTGCACTCAATGGTAGTTCTTACCTTGCATTAGGTAACCAAAAACAATAACTTCATTAATAAAAATTTAAATGAGGAGTACTGTCTAGATCAACTATGATACAAGCCACAAATGGCTTAGAGAGACAAGTGGTTGCATGATCAACTTACAAGCGTTTGTTAAATATTGAACCCAATGATTATAGAGAGAATTGCTTGAATTAATGTAGCTAGAGTTAAAGTAATGATATCTGGACTAAAGTGATTTGTGATTACTATAATCGTTGAAATAACCAAATATTTTAGCATACGTTTTGGGAAGCCTCTGATATAGTAAATCTACCAAGAAAAAAAAAAAACTTTTTTTACTTTAAAATTTGTTTATAACAGGGCTTGCCATTTTGATGGTGATTGAAGATTTTATTGAAATTGATTCATATAATGTCTCAATATGTTAATTTTGTTCAGAATTTGTAGTGCTTGTACATAATTTATACTAACATTTTTCAATTTATGCACAAAATAACTTGATTGTTATGTTGTATCCTTTTAAGTATCATAATATTTTTTTTTGTTTATCTATATTTTTTTAAGAAAGTAATGGAGAGCACAAAATACTAATCAAGTGTTTTTCTTTATGGCTTGTTTTATGTAAATGGTTTACTTTATATATTGTGTATAAAGTTGCCCTACAATTTTAATGCACTAAACATCAGTGTATGATGTAATTACTCTAGAAGTTTTAAAAGCTAGAACTTTAGATGTGTGAATGAACTAAGTTTAGGAAGTTAAAAATTGCGAAAGGTAAACTAAAGATATAAATAGGCAATGGAAATGTAATAAATGTGAATTGGCAGAATCAGGTAAGGTAAACTAAAGATATAAATAGGCAATGGAAATGAAATAAATGTGAATTGGCAGAATCAGGTAGGAGGAGCACATGGAAGGTTTGCTTTTGGGGTGAAACGAGGATGATAAGATGTTAGAAGGTAATATAAGAGTAAGAAAGGTGATCCAAAGATGATGTGATTGTCTCTTTGTTCAACTCAACCGTCCATGCTCCATGATTTGTTGTTTATGTGCAATTTTTAGGGGTTTAGGTTCATTTGGCCAGTA